AATAACTCAAAAACCATTCATCTGATTATTACCAATTTCAAACTTGACCGAAATTGACCTAGATCTCATCAATATAAATGATCACACAATGCTTGAAATAACTCCAGAAATTGGGCCAGACATTTTGGATATCAATGGATATCTTTGTATCAAATTTTTATGTAATATTTGAAATAAAAGTATCAAAGCATGATTAGCATAATTATAATATGAAAGATCATCTCATGATTATATAAAGTCATCATAGAATCAAAATTATTAAAAGATTCGGACAAACGACTTGACTTGAACTAATTGTGTCAACACCTTTCTTCGTGTTTTGACTTGATCATCTAGACCTTGTATGTCTTCCCTAAGTGTTAGTAATCTGGATGATCTAGACTATGTTATTGTCGTTCCGAACTTTTTAGCTTTCCAAGGCGAGAAATGTCAATCCGTTATGCGAAAAAGAACATTTTTCAAGAACACACAACTCTGACGTCTATTAGAAATATTAACGGTCAGAATCGCGATAATTCATGATCTTTACAACAAGAAAAACAATATTTTTTCATAGATTTAGTACCGGACAAAAATGTCTGGCTCCAATGAGATTATACCGGACATTTGCTGAAATTGTACCGGACAATGTCCATGTCCAGACACTTATTTCAAGCCTTGTAATCACACTAATTTTCGTTTAAATCAGAGAAAGATAGCCTTGCGAACAAGATGACATACACCCTCCAGCATCTTTGATTGCAAGTAAAAATCATTGTTTGTTGTCCATTCACATTTGGTTCATGTTTAGTCTATAGAGAATATTAAGCAAACTTTATTGTATTGCATAATGGTCACAAGATCAAATTTTTGCCTTGAAGTAAGCTTATATTTACTTTTACTATCAATTTGTATCAATTTCTAAATATAATTATATTTACTTTCATTATTACGACATACTACACACTGGGTATTGTGCTTCTTTTTCATTTTCTTAGAAATTTTTATCTATAGACTTTGTTATATTTCTTCTGTCCCTTTTTTTAACTTTCATTATCACATATTAATAAATAATTACCAGATATTATTTCATTATACTTAATCTTATTCTTTGAATCTTAATATCTATCTATAGAATTTGTTACATTTCTTCTGTATTATTTACTTTTACTTTCAATATCACTATACTAGTAACCAGGGATAAGTGTTGAAAAGGTTAGTGGATTTTACGAACCGGTTAATCGTCGACAATAACCGTTTGTTACCCAGTAAATTACTAAAGATTGTAAAAGGAGTCAAAAACCGCATTTGCGGCGGTAACTCACCGTTAACTAAACTAGAGTAAGTGTAAATGAGTACCCAGGAAGATTTTGGTTGGTTCCTCGTGAATTGTCGGTACACATCGACAGATACCAAACAACCCATTGAAGCATCTGCTTCAATGTAAGTATACCAGCGGGCCTGACAGAGTTCAGACGGACTGGTGCCATTGTCACTCATTGCTACAGTCTCTAGGTAGGTAGATGACAAGTTAACGTTCGCTTCCCTGATATCGCAGTCTCTAACAGATCAAAGCTTTTTATACCAGTTGTGGGGTCAGTGTAATGAGTGTATCTCATTGAAGTCGCCGCGCATCAGTGTACTGGTTCCACTACAACTATTGTCTCAATGAATATTAATAAGCTTGAAGCTGATTGACAGGCAAGAAACAAACCGCCAATAAGAGGAGAGTTAATAAAAAGTAATAATCTTGACCACATTTCTTGCAACTCGTTAGTGTTTTGAAAATTGATGCCCTATTTTGATTTATTAATCTCAATTATTCAATCAATAAAGATGTTTATGTACTAAAGAAAACAGCTTAAAGACTCATACAGTGACAAATTTTCTGTCAAAATTGCTCTCCTTTTACTTCTTATAAAATTGACGGTTATCTCAAATCAGACCTGGTTACACGTGAAATACTACCTGAAATCGGTTAACTGATTAACCGTTTCAACACTACCAGGGATTTTAAAGAATAAGGAAGAAGAGAAGAGGCCTGTCTATTTCCTGCATGATATTTTAGTGATAAATCGTTATTTTACCTGCAAAACAATATATCATGCCCTTTTAGAGATTATTGATGAATTGTTACATTGTTACCTGAAATAGGCTTGATGCTTGTATTAGACAAACTACAAGCAACTGCAATGGCCTAGTCAAATTTTTGCTCTAAGCTAGGGCTGGGTGATGTTGGTTCTAGTTGATCACGATATCAAGCATTCAAATATCACGATGTGGGTATATATCGCAAATAATCAATATTTACATTTTGTTGTCACATGCTACAGTGAACGCATGTGAGCAATTTGCATTCATTTACCGATGAAGTACAAATTTCCTCAGTGATCACGTACTCCTGTGGCAACTTGGGATTTGGCGTATGAATACACAAAAACTTTCAACTAAAAATAGACAAGACGATGAAACAAATCTCGGTTTCAGAGTCTGTGTTGAATATTTAAGTTATTTGTTTCTCTTACAGATGTGCTTTCAGAAAGGTATTTTCATCCGTTTCTAAAAAAAAAAAAGACTCTATTAACCTTGCACTATTTTTGAGTATTCATACGTCATCGTCAGCCTAGCAACGTAGGGGTGGGGCTTAAAGTTAATTGCCATTCATTCGAATTAACACATGAAAACTCTACAAAAATCTACATTCAATCCTTAAATATTACTCAAGTATGGTTTTACTGGTTTTTGATAAAAAATGTTGTTTTTCTATCTTAAAATTTTAAATGTAAAAAACACGCCCTACTCTTAAGCATATTACTTTTACTATCAATGAGTATCAAAAGTTCTATAAATTACTTTTACTTTCACTATCGCAAATAATTACTAGGTATATTTCATTATATACTTCTATATCTTATTCTTAGAAGTTTCTATTATCATTCCCTAGAATCTTCACATTAGATAGTGTTTTACCATTTACCTTACAGGCACAGATACGCCATTTTTGACCAAGGTATTTTTAAC